AACGCCGCTAGACGTTTGACACAGTGACGTCAGCGTGTTGGTCAATTTTCGCATGAATTCCATTCGTTTCAACTGATTTGTTTGGCGTTTTTGGGATTCCACAACTGTTTGTATTGGCTGAAAAATATAGGACGCGAATTTAAGCGTTTGCTTGCAGAGCCGTGGAGTATATTTGGAATGTTTTGAAACTCTTCCAAAGTTTAGAAACTTTATGCAATGCTCCATCAGCTGTTTGGTAAGTTGCTCACGTAACCTCTGACAATAAAGGTTTCTTTGCATCAAGCTGTTATCGAGAAACTGCCAGGACGGTCTACAAAGATGTAGCTTCGCAGAGCGACTCAGATCTCCCACTTCTACTGTTCGGAACAAGATAGCTTCTCTAAAGGCTCGGGAACACATCTCTGGGATTGCGAAGAGTGGAAAATCGAGAACTGCGACACCCGAAGGAATAAGACTAGGCGTAGAAGAAAATCGCTAGCAACGGTGAAGCCAGCGCGAACCGCATCGCTTCTGACCTTAGGATCTGCCGAAATCCGTCCAAAAGATCTTAGGAAGTGAGCCTAATCCAATGAATTACCGACTATTCAGAGTGCTTTCATAGCAATCCTAATAGAATCGAGCTATAAAATGCAAAAAGGTTCTGCGCAAGCTCAACGCCGCATCTTTTTTATATTTGGACTATTGGAAAGATTTTTGAATTGAGTTTCTTCGCGAGCGTCAAATCAGAGTCAGTTGTGGCCAAAGGGTGAGAGCATGTCCCCAAATGATATTTGATTCATGGTAAGCCCTATCCCGAAAATATGCGAGTTTAGGCAGAGCTAAAATCAAAACGGACGCGCACGCGCATTCCCCGGACACGGGCAAAGAATTGTGACCTTCTTCTTTACAAGCGTTTAACCCGATGGACTTCTCTGTGTGATGATTTTAGAGACTTATCTATCTCAGAAGACTTGCACTGCTCGGTAAATGCTCTGAAGTTGGCGCTTCAGAAGACGTGGAACAACACCGCCGCCGACTACCTGCGGCGCACTGCTGATTCTGTCTGGACGTCAGAGGGCGTCTATTGGAAAGAAATCGCCAAACTTCTTCTTCCTCAGTGATCACACAGCTCACTTCTATCTTTCATCAAAATTCCTTTGTTAATCGTGTTCCTATCTTCGAGAGTACCCTCAAAAACATGGCGTTCTATACTTTTCCGCAATAGATTTCATTAGACTAGGAGAACAATAATCTTACTCAAATGGAATTGGTGTAAGAGTAATGACCATTTTGAAAAACATTTCTAAAAATAACATCGAGGAAATCGAACGTGGGCTGTCCTCAATGTGTTAAGAGATATTGGAGTTGTGGAGAAGAAACACCTAGTTTTACACAGGAACAGTTATATTTTGATGACCGATCATCAGCAGGAGAGGAATTGATATGGCCAAAGAAATTGCTGAATACGGTAGGAAGAGGAATGTGTCTGCACAGTGATTGAGAGCGACACACAAGCGTCGAGAGTTGTGAAAAAGCAAACTGTAAGCAGAACCTGATTTCCCAAAATCAAAAACTAGATTTTATGTAAGTTAGTTCTGATAGAAATCCTGAATGACGAAAAAAATTCAAACAAATCACCAATAAATTTCACCTGCTCTCTTCCAATTCCTCCCACCACGCGTCGCCATTCGCAATGAGTTCAGCATTTGCCTCTTCTGCGGTTGGATTGTATGGATCTGCAAAGAGACATCTCGTAATGAAATAAAACGACGTCCACGAGCAAGAAAGTTTCTAATAAATCTAATTTCATCACGTAATTCTGGTAAAAACTCACAGACTAGTTCAGAAGGTTGGGCCACAACAGTTGCTTGCGGTTGAGTGTAAGTGTAAGCTACCTGTGGTTGCTGTTGTGGCTGTTGGTAAGCAGCCATCTGATTATAGGTAGCGATCGATGGATCAGCAATCTGTCACAAAAATGCGTAAAAGAGGAAAAAACGGCCAAAGGGAACAATTCCGCTCAATAATCTTTGGGACTCTGCCGACCCGTCAGCAAGTCGAAATATGACCTCCAAGGGGAATTTTCCCTCATTAAGGTACGATTAACAAATACCAAGGGGTACCAATAAAGATAACCCTACGAATCCAAGAAACACAAAAGACCAACCAGTTGGGGCTGCATTCCATCACGAATCTGATGTCGTGGGAGCCGTTGTTTAGCTGCCGCGAGTTTGAGTATAATTTCACGACCTCGCACTACCGTTTTATTCATCTCGACCTAAATTACTATCAAAACTAGTACCGATCGTTTCCTGTCATAGCTTAGTAAAACATGCGTCAAGTCCTGCTAGAGACTTGCTGTGTTTTTGCAAGTTGTTGTAAATTAAGTGTTTCATAATCTTGAATGCACTTTTAACGGAATATGCAAATTTCATACCAAAGCCATCTGCTGTTCCGTCTGATCTCCAAAACGGATGAAAACCAAGGCATCTTGATGTTCCATCGCGATTACGGTACACTTTTGCTCCACGACAGGAACGGTATCGAGCGCCGAACACCTGGTAGAGAGCAGCATCGTCAAGATCCGGGTGAATGTTGTTGGCAAAAAGATTGAACTCGATAAGGAATTGCAAACTTCGATCGACCTTAATAAGTGGTAGATTTCTCGCTGATTCTCTCAAAAGCTGGACGAATATCCTTACGGCACTCGTGGATCATTCGCAAATGAGAGGTTAAATCGAGATCGAGGCTCGCTATTTGCAATCTTATGGCCATTTGCCCTCAGCATCGCATCCGCGTAATTTCGGCTGCCGTAATTGAATTCCACGCCCCACGAAGCAATAAGCGCAATTCTGAAATTAGAATGCTAACATACAGAAGCTCGCCTGCTTCCTTTTTCCTGATATCCTTGACTAAGACAGGAAACTAAACTCTGGAGACATTCAAAGAAGTTTGCCTTCCTTCGCTGATTTTCAGGTTCAAAAAAATTATCATAGTGGGGCAGCGCCAACTTGTTCAACTTCTATCCAGAGGTGCGAAAGCAAAAAGCTAATCGGCGCTCATCCAGTAAGGTGGGGCATTGCGGTGCGTCTGCTCCTAAGCCACACTTTTGTCAAGGATCCCTATATTTACGGACCTTTTTTCCCCTATTTTATTTCTTTAGGTGTTTCATGTAATGTTATGTTCTTATACTAGATGACATCAACGTCTACGAAAAGTCGTACTCACCTAGTCAGCAGGTCAGACTGATGCCTAGAATGTGATGGAGTCAAAAACAAGCATGCTCGTCGAATTCGGAGCTCCCTCGCTTCTGCGCTTAGTCTGATCGTTTTACACCAGTAAAACAATTGCCTTTCCGGTTCTTGCTTTCCGTGGTTTCAAATGCCCTCAATCGCAACGCAACCCTTACCGGATGAACGCAAGCTTATCAATCAGGGACCTTATAGCAAACATTTATTTTCATTTGAAAGTATTCCGCTTACATCCGAAAACGAATTTGCTTTGTATTTGCTACGAATGTAATCCATTCGAAGGAAGGGTGAAGGCCTAACATATCACGCAAACACTTTTGCTAATTACAAATGCGGAAAACTGTATGAACTTACCACACCAGTTTGTCTATCGGTCACCATTTTTACAGTCGATGGAACATGACCGAGTTCCTGAAAAATACATTCACACAGAAAGCACATCACACGACTACTAACGAATCACCTTGAAGGCTGCTAAAATGAACTGTGCATCCCATTGCGGTTGAAGATCGCCCATCCAGAGGGTGCGATGCGAATCGAGAGTGCTGTGAGGATGATTTCGAGGTAACTCATTGTGATGGTCGATATCATCTTCGCATTCCACTGTACTCGTGTCGGTCATCTGTGCGGAAGCGCCCTATTTTTGAAGAAAACCGTACACACAATTAAGGTCAAAATATCAGACAAATATTAAAACTGAATAAGTGCAGGATAACAACTTTTCATCAGTTACTTCGCAATTATACAAATATTTATTGTGAATAATCACGTCAAACACGACGGGGAATGAAAGATCACTCGTAGACCAACATAACAGTGTTTCTTTGATGAAACCTGCACCACCAAATTAGGACCTTCATGTCCAAGCACACCGCAACTTTGTCGAAGGGAGGATATCGAAAGACCAAATCTCTGAAAAAAGCACGTTTTTATTGTTGAAACTAAGGTTTGAAACTTTCACTATCTTGGCGCTCATAGCCTTGGTGAGGGGAGAGGGACTCAAAACAATGCATAGTGACACTAGGACTAAGCCCAGGAGAGGGGAGAAACGCCACGAAGAACAATGCTCACATCTTTCTCCTCTCTGAGGCTTAGTTCCAAGTAATGTAAGTGCCTGCATTTCATTTAAATATCACCTTCCCCCCTCTTCAATGACATTGTTCTAACCCATATGATGTAGAGAAGCAGATTGAATTAATGTAAAAAAAACGAAATGGATTGAAAACAAAAGCCCATGAGAGAGAGCCCCATTTCATTAACTGACTTGAACAAGCTTCGACTTAAAAGCTCGTGTGATGGTACCGACTGCCAGAAAGTATGACCACGACGTGAACGGCCTTTTTATGCGAAATGTACCCTCTGAACAGATTGAACGCTAACAGTAAAGGTACCGCAATCAGTAGCAACCGCACTTCAAGCAGGAACAATTTCGGAGGCGGAGCAAATGGAGTTCAAATTAGCGCGTTGCAAAGTACAACGCTGCTTTCGTCGGCAGGAGCGAAACATCGCCAGTAACCTTCTGGCCTCCTCTGTTTAGTTCCTAATTGAGAGTAGCTTCGCTACTCCTCTCGCGCAGTCAATATAACAATCGTGTCGGGTGTGACTGATCTCGGAATTCAATACTCAGAGGAGAGCAGTCAATATTGGTGAGGGTAAGTGCTGGGGTAGGGAGCAGCCGATGGTCGTTATTGGGGAAGCCTCCTGACTCTATGAGTGATGGTCGATCGTCCTAATCCTCCGTGAGGTGGGGGGGGAAATCGTGAACAAGTTTTCCAAAAGTAGCATTTGGTGTCATAACCTGTTGGAATACGTGGGCAGTGAGGAGGGACTTGCCCGGCTTTTGAGGAGAGCATCAATTAACTAGTTTTTTTCCTCCCCCTGTATACCCTATCCTTCCGTTGATGTTTTATGCCACGATGAAAGCAGATTTGGCACAGGGTCAACCCTATGTTGCTACAAGTAGCAACGGGGGGTCGTACTTGGATGGACCCAGAGGGGGGGTCGTACTCTCTCGGTGGCCGGCAGCGGGATTTGTGGTAATGTCCCTACTGATCATAACCATGTTTCAGGAAGAGCATGAGAAAGGAATACTTGCAGAAACAGCAGCTGCAAGACATGTAGCATCGTTCAAAAAAGTGCCCCACCATGACATGGGTCCACGCACGTAACCACATTTGAAACTAAAGTGTAGCTGGAGTATTGCCTAAGACAACATGGACAATAGTCAGCACATTACGTTTACGCAAGATTATTGATGCTAGAGCGTTTATAAACCCCTTACTTCCGAATGACCTTCCAAATGAATCAGCGAATCAGGAGTGCGACCGAGGCGTGGCGCACACCAAGACAGGGGGATACCAGTGCAAGCACATGCACAAAGCATTCTGACACATCCTATCGTCAGCACGATCTCGTTTTCCCTGAAGGTTACGGGCAGTGAAACCTAAAAAACCCGCTTTCTTGAAAGAATGGCTTGGAAAATGCCCTTCAAAAAGAATGTAGCAACGGGACTAATTTTTGAACTACTGACTTTTAAGAAACTTTTGGGTACTTTTTAGAAAGCTTGAATCCTCTAGTTTCTCATACCGTGTTCAGCTTCCCAAATAAATGAGTTTGAAGGAAGTTATAGTCGTTTAAAGCTTGAAAAGTCGCGGTTTCAGAAAAATAGTTCCGCGAACCCCCCTAAAATGTAGCAACGGGATTACTCGCTTTTAAAATACCTTTGGGTACTTATTAGGAAGCTTGAATCTTGTAGTTTCTCATACCGGGTTCAGCTTCCCAAATAAATGAATTTGAAGGAAGTTATGGTCGTTTAAAGGTTGAAAAGTCGCGTTTGCACAGAAAAAAGTTCAACGTGCTAAATTTTTACTAAATTAACTTTCGATGAATTTTCAGCCATGATTGGAGAGAGAATGATTTGAATTTTTTAAATCAAATAACTCCGGCGCAAAAGCTCGAATATGAAGAAAGTTATAGCCCTAAAAAGAGGAAGGTGAAAATTGTAGTGCAAATTCATTTCTTGCTCAATAACTTAATTATTTCAGATTGTTTAAGAACAAATCCGCTCTAATTAAGAAGGATGACCGTCGGTGATCCAGAATCCACCTCCGTCTTCCGAGGAACCTGAAATTTCACGAGGAAAAATTCTTCTACTTCTCGATTTCCCCTTTCGACACCTGTTCCCCTTCAACAAACGCGCCCCACTGCGGTCACCGAGGGCGCGATCCACCACAGAAACGTAACCTGTCAAAAACCTGTCAAACCTTTAGCCCTCAGCCATGAGGTCCGTATCATAAATGACTTTATGTCCTAATTCCATGCCTACGCTGTTTTTCGGAATGGTAACTCGTCTTTTATGAAATTTGAACCGAAATTCAGCATTCTTGTCTAAAAAAGTTTTAATTCATATGATTATTATTGTTTAAGTAATCTTATCACCACTTGAGCTACACACAGGGGGGTCGTACCAAATCGCCCATGAAGGGGGGGGGGTCGTAGAAAAAATCCAAAAAGTAGCAACGATAGGACCGACCCTGCTTTGGAAGCCGACAGGTTTTTTTCCTAATAAGTGTAAAAGCGTTTAGCAAATTCCAACTTTTATGATGACTTATTTGTAAATTTGACGCTGAAAACTGCATTTCTTCTTGAATAGTTGATTCGTCCCTATCGCTTTACAAAGCCCATTTCGGAACCCTCCTAATTTTTCCCGAAATGCTTTTTCTCTCCAAAAAGCCAGCAAGTTGAAGCGTGCGAACTAAATTGGGATCTACTCTGGATAACGAAGACCGTGTGGCTTTCAATCCCTTGAGGACTTTGAGAACTACAAAATATGTCGGAAACGGATGGATTTCAGATATTTCAACTTCATCCCAAGGAATCACTAAGGTAGCTTGGAATTACTACGAGGTCCTCTTTGAACCATGAGATTTTAAGTGGGCGGATTTGAATTGTTAATGGAAATCTTCTGGCCAAGCTTGTGCAGTGATCGATCATTCTTTCATGACGCTTTCCTCCGAATATGTTTTACAACTCTCCGAAAATCGCATGAGAAAGATGTCATGAACATCAAGGATGGAGGTGCGCTTTCTCAGAAATTTGTCTTTCTACTTCATAGCAGAAGCCCTCTCCGGTGAGATAGTCCTACGCTGGTGTCAGAATCCGTTGCGAATCTGCGCCGATAGCAGAAGGATTCCCGGCGCAGACCGTAATACCATAGCTTTAGAAGTTCCTGGAAGCGGACGTCATGCAATTCCAGAGCTCGTCTGGCATGAAATTTGGCTTAGACTGGCGCACATCCACCATTAGCTATTTTGGCGAATCTGTTCAAACAACTACAGGAGAGGGATCGCACTGGGACTTCCTTGAGAAGGGGGGAGGTTGCACATCTGTCGAAAAAAATGCAAACGTAATCGTCGATTCAAACCGGCCAATCCTGCTCTCGAAGTCATACTACACCCAACACAAAACCAACAGCTACCTCAGAAATTGTTCAGAAACGGAAATGAATGCACTTCCTGCGGAAAAACAACAAATGAAAGTGAGAGGGAAAGATCGCAATCGTGCTTTGAGCTAGAAATGAGTCTACGTCCACTGTGAGAAAATCTGACATGATAACCAACTCATGCTGATCAACTGATGAAGCCTCATTTGCTATTGAACGGTCGGCAAACTAAGTGGGTTGGTTCGTTCTGATTTCTTGCTATTGCACAGCTATTTCCCAATCTTCAGGCAATTATACAGTCGACAAAATGATGGGAATTCTTTGTTCCAACTCGTATTCACATGTCCATCTCGTGAAGCTACGCTATCTTGCAATAAAGCGCACAGAAGCTCTACCGTGACATGGTGAGGCGTTCCGTGAGTGGCAAGTTGCTACATCAGCTGGGCGATCTGCGAGCATAAAAATTCATGAAACGTAAGACATACCATAGGAAAGTGCGAACGACCGCAGCGCACCGGTGTAGCGCCAGAAGACTTAGCCGCATTCTCTATGACTCCACTGAGATACAGGTCAGAGTGTTACATAGTTCCGCCGATCAACTACAAAGTATTAGCTGAAGGAGCGGCTAATGAGCAGGCGAGTAGGCGATTAGCAAGTAAACATGCATTCATATCATCTGCTTTGCTCTACCTACTAAGCGTAGTAAGCGAGTAAGCGACTCGACGAGTAGACGAGTAGCAGATAGGCAGGTAGAAATGCGTTCCTATCGATTGAAACCGTAATCCGCTCGTCACCTACTTGAGCGTAGTCGCGTGTGGGAGTACGCGACTAGACTTCTCCTTCTCAACTACTCGCCTAGTCGATATGTATGCTTTCCTGTCTAGATTCTCACCTGATCGCCTAATCGGACGTGTGATCGCGAACACTGAACGCTGCCATACACCACTCAAGGCAGCGGCGATGCGAATCTATCGTGAGAAGAAAACAGAAACAACAGAAACAGTGAAATTAAGGGCGCTTTTCGCCGAATATACAGGGACATCCTCTAGAACTAAGCCTAGCTGGTGGCGGAAACTTTGAGGAAAATGAAATGGTCCACCTAACGTAGAGTCTCTCCTCCCCGCCCGAGGTGCAGTCCTGTTCTCAACGAAAAGGACATGTTTCACGCAGTTTTGATGCAT